CACACATGTACATGTGCCCGACCTGAGTTTTAAGCTGCTGGGTCCAGGATTCAAATTTCAGTTGACTATGTGGGATTCCAACGATGTTACCATTACACCATCTGCTGGTCCCTGTCCAGCTTATTTCACTTAACACAATGTTTTTGAGGTTTATCCATATTGTAGCATTTGTCAGAACTTTATTTCTGGAGCCAGCAAGTGGTATGGTGGTTAAGGCACTGGACTCCTGCATTGTCAGCCACAGTTCAAGTACTGAACCTGGCAGCGTGGTTTCTCCTTCTTTTTCTCTCTGTCTCTCTCTAGTGAGCACACATTCCCTGTAGCAACTGAAAAAAAATGATACATAAAAATTAAATAATTTTTAAAATGAACTTAATTTCTTTTTAATGGCTCAATAATATTCTATGTATTAGAATATATTCAAATATATTCTGTTCTAATATAATATTCTAATGTGCATATATATATATATTATATTGGGTCATTGGGGAAGTCATGGCACAGTTTTCCATATAAAAACAGAAAAGTATGTTATTACTTTCCCAATGACCTGATATATGACACATACTATTTATCCATTCATCTATTGGTGGACATTGGGTTGTGAACATGTTTTGACTATTATAAATAATGCTGATATGAATATTGCTGTATAATTATCTGCTTAAGTACCTGCTTTGAATATTTTTATGTGCTTACTTAGAAGGAGAATTGCTGGCTTGTATGGATAATTCCATATTTCACTCTTTGAGAACTGCCATCCTATATTCCACAATGGTGGCATTATTTCACTTTCCCACCAGCAAAGCACCAGTGTTGTTATTACTCTACATTTTTACCAGCACTCGCTGTCTTCCCTTACCCCTGGTCCCCTAATTTTTCCCTTTTGAGAATAACCATTCCAATGAGTGCAAATTCTTACCACATTGTAGTTTTTATATGCATTTCCCCCAAAATTAGTGGTGTCTTTGGCATCTTTTTGATGTAATACTGAATTATAAGGTTATATATTGCATTTAATCCTTGTCATTGTTCAACCAAATCTTTGTTCCACAGTCACTTTACCAAGATATTCAATCAATGTTATTTTCGTTTTAATATCTCTTCTTATTTAAGTTCTGTATCCGTAACTTTTTTCAATGTTAGTTATTATGTGGGTAAACCTTAAACATTATATGCCTAAAAGTATTTTTATCATGGACTTTTATGTGACCAACATTTGGACTGTATGCAAAACACTGCTTAAATTCTTTTCTTTCAATGGTTTTAAAATACTGATTTTTTTCCCATTCACTTTTGCTATTAAAAATATTTTATATTGGGGCCAGCAGGTGACATAGTGATGAAAGTGCTGGACTCCCTCATGGTTGACCACTGTTTGAGTCCAGGACCTGGCGGCTTGAAACTCATGTCGGGAGCATGTGCATGCATGCCCAAAATCCTGAGAGGAGAATGGAGAAAGGATTGTGGTGTGGTCATCCTCCCTGGGGGTTTATTTCTCACTTTCTTTTTCTCTGGTGAGCGTATATGCCCTATAGCAAAAATATTTCTCAAAAAAACTTATATAAATTTGGCTCTTGTTCCTTTATGCATAATCTTTTCTTTCTTTCTTTAGGCTTTTTCATTTTTTTCTTTGTCATTGTATATTCTTAATTTTCAATATAATATATTTGGGTTTAAGTTTTACTGCTCTTTTTTCCTTAGATTCTATAGAACTTTGGTTTTAAAATATAAAGAAAATAATGATAATGCAAAAATGGAATAAAATAAAATACTTTCATCTTTGGTATTAATTCCAGGAAGAATATGCACATTATTTCTTAAAAGGTTTTGTTCTTCCTAACCTATAAATAACCAAAGTGTTGGAGAGAAAAAAAATATTTTAGTCTTAATAATTCTATTCTCCATATTGTTTAGATTTTCTTTCATATACTCTATTTATTGGTTTCTTTTCTTCATTCTATTGGGAGATGAATTTAATAATGCTTTTATTTTATTGATGCTTTTCTTTCTTTCTCAGGGTATCTATTATTCTATTTTTTTCATTCTATTGTTCCTTTTTCAGGTATCATTTCTTAATACCTTCTGTTTCTGTCTGATCACCCTCATTATTATGTTTACTTGGAGTTATTTTGTATTACAAATCAATACAAATATCCTCTCTTATTTCCTTTAGGCTAATTTAAAAATCTTGGTTTATCCACTTTTTAAAAACTACTCTTCTGAAGTTATTTCTAATGCTGCATGTTGTTTTACTTTTGCTGTAGTCATTTTCCTGAAGTTTTGATACTTTGACCTGTGAGCTCATTTTCTTCAGGGGATATTGGCTATGGTGGACAGCAGTGTACATGTGAGAAAGCCAAACCAGCTTAGCTCAGTCTCTATAACTTCAGTAGTGCAAATGTAAATAAAATCCAGGGAAGAGAGCCTTAGATGCCAGGAAACTACTGTTGGTCACTCATCATCTTAAAGCAACTTCTCAGATAAGGAGGTTTTTTTATTTGTTTGTTTGTTTCTTACTTGAGACAAATATTGTCTTACAGAAAGGTTTGCTCTGCCTTGTTGAATAGATTCTATGATAAATTATTGATTTTTTTTTTTTACAGTTTTGTGAGTTTGATGTTGATAATATGTCCATCCACTTCATGGCAAAAGTTTTGCTTTATTTATAAAATAATCCGATTTTTAAACCAGAATATTTTTTTTCATAAATTATCTATCTAGGTGCCTACTGAACTGCAAAATAAAGACTTAGAACTTTTTAATTCACTAACTTATACTATTTGACAAAAATTATATAAATTTGCTTTTTAAGGTCTTTCAGATGTGTATGCAATCTTTAAATTTTTACTAACATTGTACTCTTAAATCTTTCAATAGAGAAAAGACACTTTAGATTACCTAAAGTGTATTACATACTTTTGAAATTGAAACCCACTTGTCTAATGATATTCAAAAAGTGATTAGCCATTACATGAAATGGAGTAGTACCTACAGCACAAAATTAAATAGGATATTAATCATTGTGCTTTAGGGCATAAATTAGACAATAACCAAGGTCAGGATAAGACGGAATACAGCTATAGTTAAGCAGGATTAGATTCATTATCAGAATTCTAGCCCCATTTCTAAGAAATAATGCAGTGAGTACTGTCTGATCAGGTAATATGGACCCAACAAAGTACTACAGTTAGGAATCTCTCACTTATTATGATTACTCTGTCTATGTAATATGGCTCCTTTTCTTTAACATTTTTGCAATTTGCCGTACCTGCATTGAATCCAACTGAATTCAAGATCTTCAGAGGAAAAGTGCCCTTTTCCTAGTTCCTCCTCTCTCACTCCTCCCTTTTTGTTCAGCCATGTCTATTCTGTTTCTCCAAGGCACAGTGTAAATGTGCAATTCGGGTTGGTGAAGCATTTGCTCATGACCAACATGCTTTTCAAAAATGATCTTCAAAAGACCCTGTACTTCTATAAGTATGACTAAATGACTTGAATCTTATGGAACTCTCTGCTTTTCTGAATTTCTGCCTATTTGTGTTTATCTGATGATAACATCCACCACCTTTCCAATTTGATCAATTCATCCCTATTTTGCAGATGAGGAAATTCAGAGGGAATAAAAATACCTGACATAAATAATTCCCTTCCAAGATCCAAAAGTAAAAATGCATTTTAAAACATTGAGTTTCTAAAAAATAATGGTGAGACATCCTAATAAATAGTGGGGAAAATGCATAAAAATATACCCCAGAGCAACATATATAGTCTAGAATGTCCTTATTTATGTGCATATGAATTTATAGTTTACTTTAACTATATTTTAAGGTTTATTTTCCTCATAAATAAATAACTTTTACTACATAAATTTTAAAGAGTATTATTCTAGAAACAAATTTTGGTCTTAATATGTCCTTTTTAAAAATTTATTTCCAGTCTAACATTATAAGTATCAAAAAATTCCCTCAGACTAAATTGGAGTTTTGCAAAAATGGGAATGTGGACTGAGATTTTCCATAATAATCTTGTTATAGCTTTGTTTGATTATGTGTACTGTTCCTAGTCCTTGAGGAAAGAAAAAAGTTGCTTCTTATTCAGCTTTTGGTTTATTGCCCAGAAATTGAATAAAGATACTTAGAATGGAAGTATTTTAAAATTTGAAATCTTTCATTGTAAATGTGACTTGTTCTAGAATAATGAATATTAACTCAAAATATGAATATTATTTAAATTTAATGTTCTTTGTAGATAAAAATCAATAAACACATTTTGAATAATGAATTGTTACAATTTTGAATTACATATAAAGCACTTTAGCTTTTCTAAAACATTATTCCCAAGAATCACTTCAAGAATTGCAGTTTTTCTATAATTGGATGCACCTTATATTCACTAGAGGCAAAGTAGTTTTAGACTACTTTTGGTTGGTAGCTGGGATATTTCTAATAATCTAGAACATTAAATGTACGATGAGGAAAAGTATGCCTTCCAGGAATGAAAGAGCTTCTCATTTAATTAACAGTGTAAAACACCCCTTGACTGTGAGTTGCTGGTAGACTGATGATATTAAGAAGACTTCCAGAATATTTGACTGTTATATCTAATTTATGATATGCAAAGAACTTTCCAGTTTTGCTAAGATGTGTACTGAGTTTTATCCAAAATGATATTTTTAATTGTATACATTTATAACCAGGTCATATGCTATATCAAACATCCATAACTTTTAAAATATTAATCAGAATTTTTCCTCATGCATGAACTGATTTCTCTTTTCACTTAAATGTAAATAGGTTTTCAAAACAGCTTATCCACAAGCATTCTATAATGTATTTAAAAATAGTCAAGACATGCTCATTGCTTTAAAATAAAATGCTATGTGTTATAAATTATTATTAACTGTGGCAAATTTACAATGGAGAATTTACAATATATAATTAAATATATCAGTGTGCACTGAAGGTGTAATTGAACTTTTTTTCCTTTTTCCTCTAAAGTTGTCTGGAAGTATTTTAGATGTGTATAGTGGTGAGCAAGGAATTTCACCGGTTAATATGGGACTTACAAGTGCTTCCTGTCCAAGTAGTCTACCAATGAAAAGAGAAATTACAGGTAATTTTGTTTTTTGTTTTACCTTTTTTTTTTTAATCAATTACATAGGATATGAGTGAAATATATTATCATGTTAGATTTTTTTAAAAAATTACTATCAACAGTCAGTTAGAAGGGGAGACACTTAGAGGGTAAATCTATCAGGTTTTTTTTTTTTTTTTTTGTAGTAAGTGAATATAACTTATAGCCTAACTGAATTGATTCAGTATTTTAGGAATTGAGCAGATATATGCATGTACTTTACCTATATATGAAGATGACTTTGAAAATTTGTAGAAAAATGAAACTAAAATGAGTTTATTTTGGTACTAAAATTTTTGATATCCACTCCTTATTTTTTCATAATATGTATTTTCTATGAACATCTTGGAGACCTCTCATATATGACAGTTTGACAAGGTTCTTCACTTAAATAGGTTTATTTTGCTATTGAATAGGTGCACTTTTTAAAAATAGGGTTACAAAATGATGTATTAAATCAGAGAAATTTTGGTTTCTGTGGTAGAATGATAATGCACTACTCAAGAGAAACTTGATTCCATGTGACAACCATGGCTCTAACCCCTTTCCCCATCAGCCTAAAGCATGATAACATTTATCATCCCACCCCATCCCTGAGAGTCAGGAATCTGGGAGTGGCTTAACAAATTGGTCCAGACTCAGTCTTCTGTGTGGTTTTAGTGAAAATGTCAGCCAGAGATTTATTTATCTGGCACTTGACAGGAGCTAGAAGATGCCCTCTCAAAACTCACAAGTCTTAGAAAAAGTCAGTGCTACTTGTTGGCAACTGGTCTTGGCTCTGAACTGCATGGACCTCTCTTAGTACCATTGCTTGAGTGCCCTTGTGATATGACAGCTGGTGATACAAGAGGTAGGTACTAAAGTGAAAGCTGAACATGTCTTTATGATCTAGTGATGGAGGACGACACATTTATCATTTTTATAACATTCTATTGGTTTCAAAGATCAGCCTTATTCAATGAGGGAGGAAACTAGCTAGGGTGTGAATATATGAAGAGTCAATGTGGGCCATTCTAGAGGATGACAACCACAAACACAACCATGTAGAAGTTCTATAGAGGGAAGTTTCATTCATGGGAAGAGACTGTGGAGTTGTTCAGTATGAGTATCTGAGAAATGTAGTTAGATCTGTTAACTCTTAGAATGTAAATAATAATCACTTGTGAAAAATTTAGGTTGACATAATTTTCCTGATTCTCTACATTAAAAAAATAATAACCATTGACTAGCTTAATAGTTTCTGTGCAATATACCTCTTAAACATCACTATGATTATCAGGTAGGTGCTATATTATATTCATTAAACAAAAGAAGAGCTTGAGACACAGAGAAGTTTGGTGATAGATACCATGACTATTAAATGAAGGTTAGCATTCAAATCTAGATTTTACTACTCTGGAGCCTAAAGTCTTTGCCCTCGTCCTTTATTAAAAAAGAACTCTATTCCAGACCTTGCAATATCTGCATCAAAATATCCTTGTACCATTTTGGACAAGTAATACTATATTTCACCTAATATTTCTGAATTATGTTGCCTGGAGGGGTTTTAAGGTTGAACTAATCACTGTTCCAATTTGATTTCCTTTTGGTCAGAAACTGACACTAGAGCATTGGCAAGAGAGAGACAAAAAAAGGACAACCATAACCTCAGTGAGTATGTTTTCCTTTTTATTTAAATAATATTAATGCTAGATGGAATGCAGTAATTATAATTATAATTATAATTCTTAAATGTTTCAAGGTAAAATAAAATTAATTCTATATGAAATGCAGTAAAATGTATAGCCTTTTATAATTCTTAAATGTTTCAAGGTAAAATAACCAAAATTAATTGTATACACAGTTTGAATATTTTGGAAAATGTAAACAATATAAGCCCCCAGAATAGCTATATACTTTTAGAAAGTAAAATATCCTGAGTTCTCTCCTTTGACCTCTGTTGTGATTCATTTATTCAAAGGTTTATAGTGATAAAAATGTTGTTAGAAAATGTGTACCCTTTAGATAGTAAGAAATTTAACTCCAAACTCTCTTTTGTCGGTGTCAATCTGCTCCTCCCTTCCTTAGAGCTGAAATCAGATTCTTGACATTCTGCATGGGGATGACAGGGAAGGGCAATGTTATCTGAAAGGTATTGCTTATGTTGTGGAGCTGAATCTACCTCTGGGGGTGGAAGGGGCCCTATGTCTTCCTAAGGGTCAAGTTGACACTAATCATGGGTCACATGAGATGGGGAAATGCAGGCAGAAGCAGATGAGCAGGATCTTGAGCTTTAGAGTGTTCGGTCATGTCTTAAGTTCCTAACTGTTTTTAAATTGAGCTTGACTAATTGGATGTGAAGACTTATTGTTTTGGGAGCCATATCAAAAACTGAGAAAAGAATAAAACAGAATAAAGATAAATACAATATTTAAAACCCTAAAATGGATCAGTCATTTCTGTGCATGTAATTAGCTAAAACTGAATACACAAGTACCTATAAAACCAGCATTTGTTCATAACGCACTTGCCCAACTGATGAGTTTGCTGTGTGGTATGAGGAAAGAGCTGACTCTTGGTTATAACAGTCCTTAAGGAAATTATCTGATTCCCACAGCCCTTCATGTCACAGCAGATAACTTTGGTCCAGATTAGGAGACAAGTAGAATAGGTGGGGAGATCTAAGATTTGATAGAAGGAATGACTACATTAAGAACTATGGACTTCTCTCTTAGTACATTTGTTAACGATTACCATCCTTGTGCTTTTGTGTGTCTACATCTTAAACATGCCATTTAATGGAGAGTATGATGACTATCTGGTATGTCCATTACCAAAATGTCTTCTAATCTTGACTGTCTTGCTAAGTTATCTTACTTTGGGGGAAAATCGATGTGAAAAAAATTATTATAAAATTTGAATAACATAGATCTAGAACAAGCTTTAAAACTTGTGAGAATCATGGCAAAAATACAAAGAAAGTCCTACTTCACACTTCTAAATTTGTAAAAGTTACAAATCAAGCCAGAAAGTGGTATATTAACTATTGTATGTTCTATTTTTCCTAAAAACTGGAATTGTAGGAAAGAATTTAAGAATTCCTAGATTCTTGGTATTCTGCATGTGGATGACAGGGAAGAGAAATTCTTGCCTTAAGCTTGTAGCCCTCCCCACTTATCTCTCCAGCTCTTATTCCACTATGCACTGCAGGTGGTCTTAAATATGAGTACAAATACCTAATCCTATATATTTGAGCTCCATACACATTCCTGCATACGATCCCTTGGCTCTCTAATTGCCTTGCTTGGTGAAGATAGATGCTCAAAGACTCAGGGATCCCTCTGGCCTGGAACTAAATATAGGATTGAGTATATCAAAAACTTTTAGAAAAGTGAACCCATATATGACATGAAATGATTTAGTAATATCTCAAAATCTAACTCCTTTACAAGTGACTAGTATTGGATGTGAACACCATTGGAAAACTGCAGTTCTTATTATAATTAGCCATTAAAAAATGCATAGACTACAATCTAAGAAGGGTGGAGATGGAGCTTCTGCTATTCTATGTAAGGTGAATTTAATGATAGATTTTAAACATTATAGGCCTGATACAGTTCCTTCTTTTGAAATAAAACTGTGAACATACTTCACCTTATATTTAAAATCTGGTTAATAATATAAGAGTTAATTTTATGGGTAAACATAGACTTATTAATACATGCTCACTGTAAAATATATATGTATTTCTATCAGCTTTACCTTTGTTTATTTTTTTAGTGTTTTGATGTGCTATTATTCGGCTTTTTTTGCATAGGGGAATAGGATGGGAGAAAGGAGAAAATAAACTCTCTCAAGAATCAATTATATTGTGATTTTATAGGAAGCCTAATGTATTATACCTGAAGGTCATATCCACTCACGGTAATTTGCTTTGTAGAGAAGGTTCACCAAAACAATAGTGATTCCTTGATGACTTTACTTTTTCCAGTAGCAGAAGTTAATTTGCAAGTGTTTGTGGTTTAAATATTTCCCAATATTTTTGAAATATGTTTTTCTTTTCTTTATGACCTTTTCTACCTTCATTTTCTTGAAAGCTTTAAACATGTTACTGGTTGAAAAATCTGATATATATATGTGTGTGTGTGTGTGTGTGCTGTGTGTATACACGCGTTTATGTATATATGGTTGTTGGAAAAGTCATGATGCATTTTTATATAGAAAGAAATATGTCATGACTTTTCTGACAACTAAGTATATATGTATATGTTATGGTTCTTGACATTAAGAATACAGAAGACTGTTTTAGAGAAAAGTCAATATACAAAATTGATATACACACACACACACACACACACAGATGGTTCCCAACTTAGAATGGTCCAACTAATGATTTTTTGACTTTATAATGGTGTGAAAGTGATAGCATTCAGTATAAACCATACCCAGAATATGCATACAACCACTGTGTTTTCATTTTCACTATAGTATTCAATAACTACATGAGACATTTAACACTTTATTACAAAAAAAGATTTGTGTTAGGTGGTTTTTGCTCACTTTGTGTTAGATGATTTTTACACAGTTGTAGGTTAATTTAAGTGTTCTGAGTTTTGTTTTTGTTTTTGTTTTTGCCATGGGGTGTATGCGCTTGTCAGAGAGAGAGAGGAAGAGAGAGAAAAAGTGAGAAATCACCCCTGCCAATGAGGATCTTGTTTCTCCAGGAAAAAACTGAGTAAGATAAAGTCTGCAATCCCTCCTCCTTCACTCTTGTCTAGGAATTTGGGATACACACACACAAACACACACACACACACACACACACACACACAAGTATGGTTTATACTGAATGCTATCACTTTCACACCATTATAAAGTCAAAAAGTCATTAGTTGGACCATTCTAAGTTGGGAACCATCCAGCATAATTTTCAAGGTGCTGGCTCTGGGAATCGAACTATGTGGGAATCTAGCATCTTAACCATCACACCATCTGCTAGCCCCCAAGCATTCTGAGTATGTTTAAGGTAGGCTATGAAAAACTATCATGTTCATTAGATTAGGTGAATTAAATGCATTCTCAATTTATATTTTCAATTTATTTTGAGTTCATCAGGCTATAGCTCAGTCATAAGAACAGGAACATGTATATCTGATGTTTGCTAAACATTTACTAGTTGCAAAAAATTGCCAGAAGTAATGAATGCATGAAAATGCAGAGAAATTCAACTCTGAGTAGTCGGTAGTTCTCAAAGCATGAATCCTGAAAAAACAGCATCATCACCACCTGGGAGCTAGTCAGAAAGGGAAATTCTTGAACCCTAGCCAAGACCTACTAAGATCAGAATTTCTAAATGTGGAATAAAAATCTATTTTAATAATCCCTCCAGGTGTGTCTGACACAGCCCAACCTTTGTAAATCACTGATCATATATTACTGAAAATTTTATAATAGAAAATAAATTTTAGTCCAATCCACATATGTTTATTTAGCGCCTCCTATATATCAAACTCTCCAGGAAAACAAAAAAATGAGTAAGATGAGGTCCGCTCTCAAAAAGGTCTTAGCTAGTTGTGCATACACACCTACTAGGTGCTAAGCATTGTGCTAGACTTTCGGGAGAATATATAAGAAAAGTAAGCACGGTGTATGACCTCAAAAGATTACAATCCCAGGACCAGCAGATGGTGTGATGTTTCTGTTGCTGGACTCCCACGTAGTCAACCACAGCTTGAGTCCAAACCTGGTGGCTTCAAACTCATGCTGGGCATGTGTGCGTGTGTGCCCCAAATCCTAAGAGATTGGAGGAAAAGGGATTACAGTATGGCCAGCCCCCTTAGGGGATGCTTTCTGTCTTTCTGTCTCCCTGACAAGCGCACGCACCCTATAGCAAAAATCTCTTTCTTAAAAAAAAGTAAGTCTACAACTCTGATGAACTGACAAATTGCAAATGTGTAAAATAAAATCAAATATGATAAACACACACAGATATGTATGCATATTGATTATCTGGTTTGGAGGGTGTGTTCAAACAGTTCATAAAAATGTGTAGTATGAGAAAACTATACATAGATTTTGAAAAAAAATTTGCACCAAAACATACTTATACTTTAATTCCATTTTTCCACAAACCTTTTCAAGCCTTCCATCTCTCTCTTTCTCTATCTCTCTCTCTCTCTCACACACACACACATTTTATATATATAAAATTCATTATATATATATATATATATATATATATAATTTCAGTATAAGTATCATGGTATTTTGAAGAATGAAAAAGTATTTTGTGACAAAATGTTTTGAAGCATTATAATCATATATTCACAATTCTAATATTGTAAGTTTTATAATAAGAAGATACATTTGAACTTTTATATTATTGTTGGAAAGTACTTTTTTTGGTTAAATGAAATGTTTTTTTGCCCATCGTTTTTAAAAGATTGTTAAGAAAGTTTACAACTGGCAAAAAGCAAACTGCTTTAATGACAATAATCAAGAATATTTCTTCTTTAATAGTTGAAAGACGAAGAAGATATAATATTAATTATCGAATCAAGGAGCTTGGCACTCTTATTCCAAAGTCTAATGATCCGTGAGTTCAACAATTATTTCTCTAATAACATTATGGTTTCAATACCCCCAAAAGTGGGTGGGAGGGAGGAGGGGAGTAGAGAACCAGTGACTAGAAAACTAAGTGGCTTATGGCAAAAATAATGCTACTTCTGGCTTTATTTAAAAGTATCTAGTCCAGGAACCAGTAGAAGGTTTAATGGTTATGTTGCTGGACTCCCACACAGTCGACCGCAGTTCAAGTCCCAGATTTGGCAGCTTGAAACTCATTCCAGGCGCCTGTGCATATGTGCCCAAGATCCTGAGAGGAGAATGGAGGAGAAGTGATTGTGGTGTGGCCAACCCCCCTGGGGGGTGATTTCTTGCTTTCTGTCTCTCTATGTCCATCTGGCATGTGCACATGCCCTATAGCAAAAAATCTCTCTAAAAATTGTATCTACTCCAGGCTGACTGTTATTAAATATCAAGACTATTACAAAAAGTTGTCTTTTTGAGCAATAGGAAATAAGTAAATAACTTCTCAGTTTACAATAAATCTTTCTGTATAGTAACAAAATGAGAAATTTAGTGATAATGTCAAGGCTATTTATAGTGCTGACTGGTATTGTCAATTTATAGTTATACCAATTCTTCTAACCTAAGAGTGCCATGTACATGAAAACAGAATTTTCTGATTTTGAGGGGTCCCAAAAATTCTGAACACGTACATGTAAAAAAGTAGAGTTGTAGAAACCTATTGACTGAAGGCAACTAGGTGTTTTGCATTGTCCACCCATAAAGTTACTTAAACATGTTGTTTGAGGTTATAAATCTCAAGAAAGAGTTAATTTATGAAAGTGTCAATTTAGAATGTTGAATGGTTCTTCAAAAGCAAAAACATGAACTGTAACATTAATAATGAGGTGAAAGTATTTTATTCAAACCGAGAAATGGACTTTCCAAATACTGACCATTATTCACTATCCAGAAATAATCATATCTGAACATTTTTGAGGTGATATTTGTGAGATTTGAGAACACTTTTCTCTAACCCAAATCTGATATTTCATCTGGACAAGTCAACAATTTGGCACAAAAGAAAATGTAATCTTTATTCTTATGAGTGTACTAGATGTAGATAGTAAAAACATGACAACTAGAATGGCAAAAGAAAAGCGGATGTAGAGTCGAAAGAACTCTAGTCTAAGTTCTACTGAAATAACTCTTCGAATATTTTAAAGTCTCTAAACATGTGATTCTTTTAGCTAAAGAAAATACTTGTGTTCTGTATGACTGTTTTTATAAAAATAAAATCAGATCAGGTTTATGAGAATACCTTGCAAATTATAAAGTTTATATAAGAAATGATAATTACTCTTAATTTTTGTTGAAGCTTTAGTTATCCAAAGACTTCTTTCCAGTTCTAATTTATTGCCTACAGCAGAGGATGGCAAACTTCCTACTAAAGGCCAGAAATTGAATATTTCAAGGTTATGGGTCAGATAATCTTTGTCACAATTATCGAACTCTACCATGTAGCACAAAAGCAGACATAGATGATATGTAATGAATGACCACAAATGCATCCAATGAAAGTGTTGACAAAAATACTCCATGAGTTACAGATTTTATGTTTTGTCCAAAATATGAAAAGTCATTTTACTATGGAATTATATTTAAAAGACACCATAATTAGGAAAACTTCATTATGAGCATGTTTTGTGTCTTTAATTAAAAAAAAAACAGTAATTCTTTTGTTTACTTATTTTTATTATTTCAGAAAGGCATATACTTTAGAGACAGACAGTGAGAGAGAGAGAAAAATAAAGCATTCCCAGGAGAGTTATGGTCACACCACAAACTTTTTCCCTCCATTTCTCTATCCTGTCTGGATTTGGGGCCCACATGACATTTTTGCAGTGGGTTTTTTAAGCCATCAGGATTGGGACTCAAACCACGGACAGCCATGTGGGATTCTATTCCCCATTGACAGTACTTAACCTCTGGACTATGGGGCCAGCCTTTAAGTGTCTTTCTCTTCTTTATGGATTTTGGAAATGAGGGTTATTATTTGTTTTAATTTTATTATGTTATATGTGGGCAAATAATATGTATATGGTGTCTAATTAAAAACATAGTAATTAGATGTTAATTAGATGTTTACTATGTCTACACAAGACCCTTTCCATATCACATATTCACTGAAGATGTGGCATTTCAAACATCTCACTACTAATCCTATTTCAATACATTTCATTTCTCAGCTTGTTCTGGCCTTATCTGTCTCCCTTAGTATTCCTCTTTAGGGATCAACAGTGGGAGTCTCATGATTAAATACAGAATTTAGACTCTTCAAACAGATTTTTGCCTGAGAAATAAGATGTGTAACCATGGAGCAAAGGAGTAGCCATCTAATCTACAAATTTATTTGGGGATTTTTTTTGAATTTTATAATGTTACTGTGGACAAATAAAATTTATAGAAAACAAGAATACTGGGGGAAAAGTGTGGAGATAACAAGAGGAGGCAAGTTTCACTTTGAAGGTAAAAATATAAATGAAGAAATGGCATTACCATTTCAGGGCAATGGTAAAATTAACAAAGAGTAGATCTGGAAAAAAAATTAAAAAGATAAAATAACATTTCAGTTTGATTTTAACAAATTTCAACATAATTTGTTGAGTAGGTGATTACAATTACTAACATGAGAGAGTATATATATATCTAACCAACATGATTACACAGTAGTCAATATGGGGTTTTCCAAATTGCATGGCATACCTATTAATGGGTCATGAAATCTGTCATATGGGGTAGATCTAGTATTTTCAGGCAAAGAAGAAAGAATAGCATAAAAAATAGAGAGTCTTTCTTACATGTTACATTTAAGGAGGATAGCAATACCTCATGAAACCTTTTTCACAGTTTTATGTGCCAAGCCTCAATATACAACTATTTCTTATAACAGATGATTTGAAAATACTAGAT